ACGGTTGGCAAGGGATTTCAAGTGCGACATCTGTGATGCTCACCGACCTTCAACGAAGCGGCCCCCTGCGTCATCAGCAGAGCAGCCTCAAAACGGTCACGAAGTACTCGTTGACGCCTTCTCATGGATCCGACGTGGCACGAACACGAATGTAATGGCGCTGGCGATCCTTGACGCCTGCTCCGACATGCTCTACGTGAGGTTGATCAATGAGAAAGAGATTCCTGGATCGACTCGACAAGTACGTGCCAGAGATCCACGTCATATTTTCACTAAGAAATGGTTTCCATGGATGGGATGCCCAAAGGTCACGCGCTACTACCCTGCAGGAAGCGCTACATCCGACGAGTTCACGGAGTGGGTCGAACGCCTGGGTATCTACTGTCTGCCCTGTGCGGCTGACGCCCACTGGCAGATCGGCAAGATCTAACGTGCTATTGAAGCCTTCAAGGAAGCACTGGACGCGTTCGACGAGATGGTGTCCGCCGACATGCCCACTACCAAGATGATTGGCTTACAGGTGGCCGCGAGGAACGACCTGATCAAGATCGACGGTTTCAGCCCACTTCAACGTTATGCGGGACGGACCCCGACTGGGACCACCGTCAACCTGTCCGACGAGCCACGCACCTTGCCTCTCATCAGTGCTGCACTTAAGGACGGTACCTTCAGCCGAGACGCCCAGGTGCGACGACTTTCGAGGCTGGCCCACATCCAGACGGAGAACTCCGACCTGGTCTAGCGAGCGGAGGCTGCGAGGTTCAGGTCCTTCAAGAAATACGAGACAAGCGACCTGGTCTTCGTATACCCGCGGCTTCCACCTGGAGCCGGGCGGAAGAAAGGACAGCCCCGCTCCATGCCAAGACGCGGTCGTTGGTACGGACCTGGACGAGTGCTGTGTCATGAACCGGCGAGCTCTGGACACCGACATGGCCTGCCCGAGACAGTCGTCAACATCGCGCTGGCTGGTCGTCTCTATCGAGTGGCTCCTGAACAGCTACGGTCTGCCACCCCGTCCGAGGAATCGATGGAGTCACTACGCCGCTACGCTCGCGTCGCGAGCAACCTGGGACAGGGACCTTCGGCGAAGTTCAGAAGCAGCTCGACACCAACGAGGTGATCGACCTTTCTAACGAGTCCCCGCCTACAGGCGAGGACCTTGCAGCGGACAACGCCGAGTCGGTCAGCGCCCGCACCTTCGAAGAGAATCCAAGCGGACCCTGGGCAATCGACGAGGACGACGATCTACCCGTTCCCCAGGGAGCACCACGGAGCCTCGGACCAGGAGGTGGCGGAGGCAGCGCACTACCTTCAGCGCCACCTGGGCTTGGGGGACCTCCTGTATCTGGATCGAGACCTTCACGGAGGATGCGACAAAATGGAAATCCTTGGCTCGATGCGCTCGCCATTGCCACTCAATAGGCCTTCTCCTACTGCCTACACAGCGTCCAGCAGTACGACGAGGCCAAGGAGGACGACGAGCTCATCGTGCTGGGCATCCCCATCATCAACGAGCATTGTTTATGGCCTACATAGACGACCCCAGCAACTACGTTGCATCCAAGGCCCGGAAGGGCCGAGTTGAGGTATCCTTCAAGAAAGCGACCACCGACGAGAAGAAGCTGCTCCTCGAGGTCCAGCAGAAGGAATGTTCATCAGCTCTCAGCACAAAGGCGGTCAAGATCCTGAGCAGACGGGGAATCGACCTAGCACGTCTCCTACTTTGCCGCTTCGTGCTGACCTGGAAGAAGGATGAGCAGGGCAACGTCCTCAGGGGTAAGGCGCGCCTGGTTGTGCTTGGCTTCAGCGACCCCGACATACTACACTTACGGACGGAGTCTCCCGTCGCCTCCCGACGGGCACGTCAACTTCTACTGGCCATGGCAGCTAGACGCAAGTAGAAGCTGGAGAAGGCAGACGCAGTGACAGCCTTCCTCCAGGGAGAGACCGACGAGGAGAAGAGGAAGATCTATGCGGACCCGCCGAAAGACGTCCGCCAGGCCTTCGGCATGAGCGACAACCAGGTCCTACAGTTCTTTAAGCCGATGTACGGCTTCGTACATGCTCCTCGCAAATGGTGGCTCCACTTCAAGGACACACTCAAGAAGCTCGAGCTGGAGGTTGTCCAGTGCGAGCCCTGTGTCTGGGTCATCCGCGACGGCCTCAAGCTGGTCGGCATGGTGATCCTACACGTGGATGACATGATGATCGCTGGTGACCACACGAACCCGGCCTTCGTTAAGAAGCGTGCGGACATCCGGAAGGCGTTCGAGTGGACGCCCTGGGAGAGCCGAGCCTTCGCGCAATGTGGCATCGGCATCAGACAGAATGACGATTTTACTTGCAACCTTGCTCAGGACAACTACAATTTGAACGTGGAGCCCATCAAGATAAGACGTGGCCGGAAACCTACAGGAGTTTCGGACAAAGAGCGAATTGACCTATGTGGCCGACTTGGTACCGTAGGATGGCGTGCACAACAATCGGCCCCATGGCTCAGTGCAGAAGTATCCTTACTCCAGGCCGAAATTCCCACGGCCACGGTCTCGACCATCCAGAAGATCAACAAGCTCATCCGCACAATGAACGACACCACCGATGTGGTCATGCTCATCCCAGCTATCGACCATATTGCCGTGGTCGGCTGGGGTGACGCAGCCTGGGCAGCCCGAGTTACTGGCGAATCCCAGGGCGGTGAGATCGGGGTGCTGGCCCAGCTGTCATTCCTCAGCGGTTCTACAAAGACGGTGGCACCTACATCATGGAGATCTTGTAAGCTGCCACGCGTGGCCAGAAGCAACACCAGTGCGGAAGTGAGATGATGACCGAGACCCTCGACGAAATTAGGTGCGTCCGACTTTTCATCTACGAGCTAGAGTGCGGGCCGGTGGACTACACCTCAAAGCAGCACGTGAACGACGCCATCTCAGCCTGCCTTGGCGTCCTTGTCACAGACGGGATGTCGGGATATGACGCAATCGAGAAGAGTGAGTCAGCTGGCTTCGGACTACGTGACAAACGTACAAGCATCGACCGTCTTGGTATTCGACAGCAGAAGGAGCAGACGGCCCTTCAGATACGCTGGGTGCACAGCGATGCTATGCTAGCGGATGGACTGACGAAGGATCGAGCTGCCAAGGTCTTGCTAGAGTTTTTCAGACCAGGACAACATTGGAGATTGGTGGACGACCCCCTCCATCGCAGTGCCTGGAAGCGCAAGACCGCAGGCATCGACAAGCTCGATCATGGCAAGCCACTATCCGACGAAGATGAAGATGCAGTCCTGGAGGCTTTGATCTACTTCGCCCGCGACAATCCCAACGAGCAGCACTACCCTGCTGGAGATATAGCCCTATGGGGCACGGTGAGACCGCTCCCACGCTCTGTGCTTTCTGTGATTCCAGGAGTCGTCAGCAGGCCTCGATGCCGACACATCGATCTTTCATTTTTGGGCATGCAGCTCGCAGCCCAGAGCCTGTCCTGTCTGACCAGAGCCTGCTTAAGACTGATGGCCTCTCGAGGCCGAGTGTGAGCTAACATGTACACTCAGGCTCCACAGGAGCCCCCGTTATGTCAGTGTTTCACGGCGTATCGTGTTTCCTATTCTCTGTTTGCAGCATCGCCATGCTTAATGGTCTCCACAAGGGTTCCTGAAGAGCCCCAAGCCCCAAAGGCTTATTATAAGCTTTTCACACGTTTCCAAGACGTTTCTGCCGAAACCGTCTTGGCTCAAACCTTGCAGCGACACAAGTCGCTGGACTTCTAGTGTGCGCTTCCGAGGCGCATGATTGCGAACTGGCCCGGTACATTAAACAGCTTCCTTCTATCACCATCGTGCGAGCAGCCTCGCACTTCCCACTGCCCGTATTTCCCCGACATCATCGACGAGAGTGCACATCGACAGGAGAGCAGGGAAGAGCAGTATTCAAGGATTCAGCAGAGGGCAGTGGTTCTAGCGTGTCCATTGCAGAGGGGGGGGGGGGACGAGTTGTGGTCCGCTTTCCCCGGGGGGGGCTTTGCCGGGCCCGCGAGGGCCCCAAGACGGGCCAACAGGGCCCTTAGACCCCCCAAGACGGCCCCAGAAGCCCCCGAGACGCCCAAAGAGCGCTACAAAACGCCGAAGATGATCTCCAGACGGCCCAAGAGGCCGCCGAGACGCTCCAAGAAACCCCCAAGAGCCCTCAGAAGAGGACCCTTAGAGGCCAACACCATACATTGTACTATGGTTTTGGACAGATTCTGGCCCTCCCGCTTGTTGGGTTCCCGACGCTCCAAGACGGCCCCGGAGGCCCCCAAGATCGCCCCAAGACGACCCAAGAGGCTCCAAACATGGGCCCAAGACGGCCCAAGAGAGCCCCAAGACTGACCAAGAAACCCCCAAGACCGGCCCCAGAGGCTCTCAAGACGGCTCCAAGAGGGGAGCCAGACGGGGAACCCGAACGGAAAGTTCGAGCCCTCGGCCTCCAGAAGCCCCCAAGAGGCCCCAAGAGGCCCCCAAGAGGCCCCCAAGAGGGCCCCAAGAGGTCCCAAGAGGCCCCCAAGAGGCCCCTAGCAGGACCCAAGGGGCCCAGAAGAGGCCCCCAAGAGGCCAAAAGAGGCCCCGAGGGTCCCCACAACGGCCCCCGGGATGCCTCAAAAATGTACCCATGAGGCCCCCGAGAGACCTAACAATAGTATCAAAAGCGCCCAAGATCGGCGGCACTGGCCGGAGGCCACTACAATAATTTCGAGCACCCGGAAAAGTGTCGAAACAGTGTCGAGACAGTGTCGGACGAGCGTCTGACACGAGAAAACCATCAAATGTCGGTACTTTCCTGGTGCTCGAAATATTCCTTCTGGTGATCAAGGCTGAAGTAGGTTGGAACATCATAAACCTGGAGCGGGGTGCGCTGAGGGCCGCAATCTGCTCCAGCGTCACTGGCGGAAATCAACGAGCTGCACACACGCTTAGCTATCACACTTCCCTTCCATGAGTCATCAGTCTTATCGCGAGGGGTCGCCGATGCTCGTGAGAGTCATGACTGCCCAATACAGGCTGACGCAATAGACGTAGAAGGCGTTGGAAGTGATGTCTACGCCGCCTAGCTGGGTCGCTGGCAGAGGACGGGTGCCGAATCTCTCCTCTTCCTGCTCTTCCTCCCTATTCCCCCCCTCTTCCTCCTCGTCTTCAACCTCCTCCACCAACTCCTCCTTCACCGCCACCGCTCACACTGCACCCCCTTGTAATAAGCTAACCGATGGCGTTGTGGACACCTTCAATTGCGGACGCCACGCCGTTTTGCACGAAGCTTGGCGGCCCCGAAAACGTGCTATCTTGGGGTTCCCAAAACGGTGCGGTGACAATGCGTGTGGTGACCTCGAAATGCCCAAGGAACTGAGCCTCACCGCACGGTCCGTCAACGCATGCTTTCTGGACCTCCGAGATCCCAATCGCCTCGGACATCCTGGGAGAACGACCCAAGTCTCAAAACCGTGCGGCCACCCCGAATAACAACTGGGTCACCACACGGTGTGGTCACCACCTCATGTCCATTGCTGTGTTGCTCGACGTAGAAGCCACTTGGTCCAAGCAGTCGGTCAACAGCCGCTTGGTGTTGTCCTACTCCGAAGCCACTCGGCCCAAGGAGACTAGCCGCACACAGCCTGGCACCACGTCAATTCTGGCCGAGGCTAGCAGTAGAGAGTGTTCACATCGATCCGAGCCCTTGTCAATATGCGGTCACGTCAGTATTCGGGAAGAGACTCGCGCGTCTCTGACATTTCAGCTGTCCTCCAGTCTGTCACAATTTTTGCCATCAACCGTGATCAGCATCAGCGTGGCCAGCAAAGTGGCGGCGTGATCCCAAGCAACGCATATCCTCTCAATCTGTCCTCCCGCGTCCTCCTCCCCATTATTCCTCGCCGGTCTCGGAACTTGAACAGGCCTGCTCGGCACTTGAATATGTACGCTAGTCTGTCGGTCGTAGCAAGAGGAGAGAGAGGGGGGCGGGGAAGGAGGAGGCGGACCAGCAGCAGTAGCAGCAGCAGCAGCAGCAGCATGATGCGCATGAGACACAGTCGGCTAAGACGCTAGAGCCCACAAGGGTGCTAGATCTCTTGCAACGTAACTGACACAAGGGGGAACAGGAGGAGGGAGAACGCGGGCAGTAGGGGAGCAGGGTGAGAACTGCAAAGGAAGGACAGAACGAGGAACAAAAAGGGCAGGGATCTGCACCAGAAGGACAGGAGGGAAAAAGGACAGGAGGGGGGGGGGGCGGGACGAGGGAAAAGGGGAAGGGGGAGCTGGGGGATGACCCCCTGGGACGGACGCTCTTGCGCCCCAGTCCCGGGGCACAATGACAGCGGGACGCGTGCAGTCCCTCCTCGCGCAGGGGAGGAGGGCAGCGGGAGGTGGCAGATCTGCGTCGAATCACGGGGGCATGCGAGGAGGCAGGACGAGGAGGAGAACGACGAGTAAGAGAGAGAGGGGGATGGTGGCATGCCACTTACCGAAATCTCAACACCTGTGTGAGGGGACGAAAACTGGGGCCATGACCAAGACTGAACGCGGAAACGTCGTGCCGTCCCTGGTCACAGTCCATCTTGGTCAGCGCCGATTCGTAGAACATCCTCGCGAACCGGCGACGGCCAACACGGACCATGGCCGGCCAGCCCCACACCACCAGTAAGGGCACCCGTGCTCCGCCTCTTTCTTCCTGAGCTAGAGGCCTCGCAGATGGGGTTGGAGCTGGATGGGGTCGGGGGATCGCACCGCATCGCCGATGCATTACCGATGCATCGGCGATGCATCGGCGACGTCAGCGTGGAGAAGATCGGGCTCCGCATCGAGCCGCACCGCCGGATGCCTCGGCAATGCGGAGCGATCCTTCGGCCCGAGGCCAAACCAGCCCCACAGACGCTCCGGGCAGGCCTCCCCGCCCTACCTCGAGTTTGGAGATCCAGTTGTCGTCGCCGTCGGAGGACCAGGCGAGGGATGCCCAGAGGCACGCCATCCTCCACAGCCGCGCGTCTTCAAAAAAGTGTCGTCCCTCTCTCTCTCTCTCTCTTTTTCTTTCGCTCTCTCCCTCTTCTTTCTCTCTCAGAGACCTCGTGCCGCTTCTTTTCCCCTCGTTCTTCTCCTCCTCCTCCTCGTCCTCCTCCTCCTCCTCCTCCTCCTGGACCTGCCCCTCATTCATCTCTTTCCTCCTCCTCATTATGCTCATCCACCTCGCCCTTCCTCATCTTCATTCCCCCTCCTCCTGCTAATCCCCGTCGCACTCTCTCCTCGTCATTTCTCTCCTCCCAACTATCCTCAACAACCGCTCACGATGACTATCACTATCCTCTCCCTGGATACGTTCCGAGCGAGGCGCGGTGTCTCCCGCATACTGATTTTCTCACACGCCGGATTGCATGTCCTGAAATCTTGTATGTTCGTTTCCGATCGGCACATGCTGTTGGCTGTTGTTCGACATGGTGTTTTAACTGTGGTGTTGGCATCATGACAAGAAATGTGTGCTTCCGTCGTTCAGATTCGCTCTGGCCCCCGCGCGGGCCACACTTCTGGATGCGACTCCTTCATTGTTGTCGTATTCCTCCTTTCCTCCCATTCGCCGCCTTCCCCTGGTCCTTCTGCGCGTCCCGCTCCTTCGTATCCTGCTGCTGCTGCTCCTCATCCCTCTTCATTGTTATCCTGTTACCGCTCATCCTCCCGTCCATCCTCGTCCTCATCCGCCGCCATCTCCTCCATTGAACACAGCTCCAAATTCTGGTTGGGTCACTCGGGGGATCCAGGTCCGCCAGGACAGCCATCGGCGGGATAAAGGAGAGATCGTCACAATGAGAAAAGATGGGTGGGAGGTGCTGGATGTCAGACGTATCGCACGCGAGCAGCTAGCTTTTCAGCTTGTCCTCATCTTCCTGCCCCGTCTGTGTTTGCAGAAGACCCGTGCCCATCCAGACTTCTGGCAAGCCAAGACATCATGCGCGCTTCGCGCTGCAACAAGAGACAAACCGAAGGGTGGCGGTACTGTCGCCCCTTCCTGCTCGGCGAGGGAGAGAAAGAGAGAGAATGAGAGAGATATGGGCGGCGGAGGATGGCTTCGATTGGGAGAACAGGTGATGGTTCTGGATGATCTGTACTCGGCGTGGAGCTCCCGCCGCTGGCATCCAACGAAGGAAAACTGGCACATTGCAGAATTTGTGATTGCGCCTCTCCCGCGCACGCGCCAGCCGACCCTTGCGAGTCCGCGTATTAGCCCCGGAACAGGGTTTCTCATTCAGGAGGGGAGAAGGGGCCAGGGAGGGATTGGCTTTTGGACTGCAGTAGGGTTACGCGTAAGTTCGAGCAAGTGGGTTGCCGGCGTCCGCCTACCTGGGATCGTGCAGCGCAGACGAGCGAGCCCCACATACTAGGACCACCCAGACTACCAGATCACTGGTGCCAGCGGCAGGAGACGGGGAGAGAGGAAACCGTGTAACTGGCATAGACGACGTAACGCGAGAAAGGACGAGCCAGGGAGGGACGAAAAGGAGCGAGTGGGCGGAGGGGTACGAGTGAAAACGCGCCCGCTTGGGGTTCCCCTTGGCGCAGCCGCCCGTGCCGCTGGCGGGGCGGTGCTGGGACGTCCGGGGCTTGCATCCACGCCAGCTTGCGTCTGCGATCCTCTCCCCGAGGGTGATCGCGCCAGAGGGGCGTCCTGAAGTGCCCCCAGGTGCCCTCGCCGAGATAAAGCAGCGGCAGACACTCCAACTCCACCAGTACACCTCTCTCACTCTGTCTCTCTCTCTCTCTTTCCCTCTCTGCCCCTTCGTCTCTGTCTCTCACTCTCTCTCTCTCTCTATCTCTATCTCTCTCTCTCTCTCGCACCACCCTCGGCGCCACAACGGGAGGGACGAGGCCCCGCCGCTGGGGCGCAGCGTTCAGTCCGCGGGGGCGCGGCAGCCTCACGCCGCCAGCCCGCGCCGCAGGATGCACGCGGGGGCACGGCAGCCTCTCGCCACCAGCCCGCGCGTCCTGACGACTTGCTCTCAAGTCAAGTCGCCAAGCACTCATCCTTTGGGCGAGTAACCCACGGCGAGCCCAAGTGGCGACGAGGACCCAAGACAGGGCACCGACAGGAGCGAGCGCCATCCGAGACCCGCACGGGTCGCAGAAGCCACACACCCCACCCCGCGGGGACGGCCCGACCCAACCAGGAGCCCAAACCAGAGACCCCAAAACGCACTCAGGGAACCCCGGAGGGGTTGCCCGAGTGCCCACAGGACGGCCCCGAAACGGCCGAGAAACACGAGCCGCATCCAGCAGGGCCGGCGGCGCCTCAGAGTGCCGCTCCAAAATGGCCAGGCACCTAAGCGCACTCCCACTCACACTACCTGCCGCGCTTGGCCTTCTTGAGCTACGCCAACAGGCCAGGGCGTCGCTCAGCGCGAGACTGCTGCAGCTCCGCCTTGAGCTGAGCAGTGCAGGCCAGTGTGTACCTCAGGCAGGCCACAGAGGCGCGCCAGTCCAGCCAGTGCCACTGGATGCACCTGGCGGCAGCCAGCCTCCTGCTCACGTCCACGCGCGTGGCCACCTCGACGTGCCCACGGAGGACCATGAGACGGCGGGCAGGCGAGACGACGAGCTACCCCCCAGCAGGCGCGTCGCCCCCCGGCAGGGCGGCGGACTGCACCAGGCACTCCGCGTCGGGCACGGCGTCGGTCTGCAGCTCCTTGACCGTGCCACCCCTGCTGCCAAAATCGACCGAGTCGGCAGCGCAGGCCGCGCCGACTGCACGATGACCATCTCGAGCTCGGCCCTCGTCGACACGGCGAGCACGATCCCCAACATGCCCCCCATGAGGGGCACCGTGAAGATCGTCGTGGTATTCCGCCTCAACCTCCAGCGCATCCGCAGCAGCATGACGACCGCCAAGACCTTCCCCCTCGCACTCCAGTGCGTCCTCGAAGTCGTCGCAGGCGCCTCCCGAGACGTCGCCCTCAGGATCGAAGAAGGGCAGGTCGTCCTCGTCGCCGATGCCGCTCTCCACGCTCAAGCCGCCAGACTCCCGCCCAGCAGCTCCAGGAGCAAGGTGTCCACCCTCCCCTACGTCCTGCACAGCCCCGCCATGCGGACCAGCAGGGGTGGCATCGGACTCCAGGATGGTGTCGCTCCTGCCGAGCGTCTCGGCCTCCCACGCCCACCAGCGCGCCCTGCTCATCACCGGTGGCGGCGACAGCGCCGGGGGGGGGCTCACCTGCCCGCGCGGCGCCGCAGGCACCCTGGGCGGCGGTGCAGAGGCGTCGCGGCACGCGGCGCCTGCAGAGGGAGGCGGTGCGCTGCGCGCAGCGCGGCCGCGCCTCGCCGCCACCTCCTCCCAAGTGGTAGGCGCCGCGTCGTACGCCGAGCGAGCCGCTGGCCGCCGCCGATGCAGCGAAAGCCACCTTCAAGGCGGTCTGGGCCTCCGCAGCTGCACCGCCGCCCTGCTGCACCTCCCCCGCCTGGGTGCGCGCCTCGCCCCACGCTGAACTCGATTGAGTTCCCGTTGAGGCATCGCCCGCACGTCCGCGGCGGGGAGCGCGGGGTGGTGGGAGACCACATTGCGCCTGCCCACCTCCATGCTCGCGCCCGTACCTGCGATGTCCGCCTCCAGCACGGGCGCGACGAGCGCCAGGCGCTGAACGAGCTCAGCCGCCACGGATTTCTGCTCGGGAGCACCGCCTGCGGCCCCCACGCCATCGGCCGCGGCCCCGCCGCTCGCAAGGGCAGAGGCGGCGCAGGAGGCAGCCAAGACCGCGGCCTCGCCCGCCGCTACCGCGTGGCGCAGGTCGGCTTGCAAGCCCTCCACGAGCGCCTCGAGGTCGAGCACGCGCCGCACCGCCGCCGCCAGGCGCCCAGCCGCCGCCCCACGGGCAGCGCCCTGCCTGGCACGCCGCGTCGGCCACGGCGACGGCGCAGCCGCTGTAGCCTCTGGGAGCTCCGCCGCCGCATCCATCGGCCGCCCTGCTCCCGCCCGCAGCCATCCCCTGGGGAGCCATCGCGCCGCGGCAGAGACCCAACGCTGCCGCCCGCCTGGCGCCCAAGCAGGCATGAGCCAAAATGGCTACGGACTCTATCGCTCTCTTTCTCGCTCTCTCTCTCTCTCTCTCTCTCTCTCTCTCTCTCTCAATCTATATATATATATATGTCGTTTTCGCTATATGCATTTCGCTCTACCCTTCTCTCGTTCTCTCTCTCTCTCTCTCTCTCTCTCTCTCTTGCACCCTCCATATTCCAGGGCCGCCGCGCTCGTCAGTGCACGTGGCGCTCCTTCGCGCCCTTCCCCCCTCGCCCACTGTCATCCCCACCGCCGCTCTCCTGCTCCCTCTCCACACCCCTCGCGCCTCCCGTCGCCCCTCCCTCTCCTCCCCTGTCGGTGCCCCTCCCCTCCACGGCTCGCGTGCCCAAGCCTCCCTCCCTCCCCCCACCCCACCCCACTCTCCTCGCCGGTCCCTGCTGCTCCCCCTTCTCCCCATCCCGTCTTCTCCACCGCCTCTCGCAAGCGTGTTCTCATTCGGCGTCTCGACATTGGGCGGAAAGGGGGAGGAGGGGGTCTGGCGCTGGACCTCTGCTTAGTGCAACTGTTTGCAGCAGTGCGTCCCATGGGGGAGCCTCCCCTTGCTCGAACAATGTGCCCCAAACAGCCAATATCTACTCCATCGGGGGGGGGGAGGGGGTGGGGGGGCGGGGGCCCGCGCCGATGGGCAAAATAATGAATACGAAAACGACCACCTCATCCATCTTCCCGGCATGTTCCACCCCCCCTCCTCCCCTGCCCCCCCTGACCCCCACCCCCCCTCCAGTGGCTCACGATCGCTATCATGACCAGGAATTGGAGCAGCGACTGCGCCGCGAAGCTGATGCCGCATTTTGGCAGGCGGGCGCGGACTGGGGCAGAAGAGAAGGAGTAAGGGGAAGAGGAGAAGGAGAAGGAGGAAGAAGACGGGGAAGAGGAGGATGGCGAGGAAAAGGAGGAGGAGGAGGAGGAGGAGGAGGAGGAGGAGGAGGAGGATGGCAGCGACGGCGAAGGCAGCGGAATCTCTGGAGGCAGCGGATGGAGGAAGCTGGGAGCGGGTGCAGGAAGAGAAGAAGGAGCACATGGACTAGCACGGTGAATGGATGGAGGGATGGAGGAGGGCGATGGGGAGGACGGGGAGGGAGACGAAACACCCCCGCTGGCAGCGGCTTTCGCTACGGGCAGCTCGTGGCGAAATACAGCTCGTGGCCAGATCATGACGCGAGGGGATGAGCACCAGGAATCGAGGGGGAGGAAGAGCACGCGGATTGGGGTCCCAGAATCGCGCGGCGACCTCGCAATTCCTGACCTTGCCACGGTGGTATGTCGCCGCACCGTTTTGCACCGTTTGGCCCCCCCCAAAAGGAGCCAGGAGAATACGAGGTGCCCAGACAAAGGGATTCACCGACCCTTCCCCTGGACCTCCCGCCTCCCCCCAGGGGAGAGATATGAGCGCTTTTGTATATGCATAAACGTTGTGTGGCACAAGCACAGACAACAAACACACCCGCATGTGTGGAAACCGCTCCTCCTCCGCCCTCTCCCAGGGTGCGTTCTGACAAACATGGCGAAGATAATCCAGCCGTGGCGACGAAGAGGCCTCCCAGGAGGCCCAGAAAGGCGAACAGGAGGCAAGGGTAGCGACATCGGTACCTTTTTCCTCCTACGAGTGAGAAGCAAGCAACAACACACCCGCCTGATGCCCGTGGCGCTCTGCCACCGCACCACCAGCTTCTGCACCTTGGCCAGCCGCAGCAGCCGCGCCAGCCGCAGAAGCCGCAGCACCTCATCGCGCGGGCCGCCAGGGCCCCTTTCCTCTCGGCCTTGCTTTTCGGAAGCCTCGTCCTTGGCTTGATTGCTCCGAGACCACCACCGTATTGAACAAGCTGCAGCGTTTCGTCGTTTTGGGCGTCTTGGGGTCGTGCCCCAGGACCGTCGCACAAATATTCCCGCAACGAAGACACGGTCCCCAGAAAGTTGTCCAAAGTTCCTCCGGGGACCCCACACTCAAAAAAAACTGCATCGGAAGTCTGGTTCTCTCAACCAAGTTTCAGAATCAGTATCAGTGTCACGAGCGTTGCAATGTTCTCTTTCTGGGCGTTCTCGCCCAGTTTTGAATCAATGTCTACCGATCCTGCATTTTTCGCAACGTCGAAACACATGGCAGTGTCAGTTTGCTTGCGGAGAAAAGCGAAGGAGTGACGCGCACAGCAACACCTCATCGCAAATGCACTGGCGACATCGGGAAGGAGGAATGCGGCCCCCGAGTCGAGCTGCATCGCCGATCTAGCCGATGCGGCTCGACCCTCCGTCCCCAGCCGATAGATCCGCGATGGGCCCCCGATAGCGAATCCGAACGTTCCTGGGCGGGGTGGGCTGTCCGCCTATCCCACTTGGATGCCCGTGGTGGCCGCTAAGGGGGTAGGGGGTGTTAAATGGATGTGAGGGTCGGGTAATCTGGCCCAAACCCGCTGACACATACCAATGGGTTACACATGCCCTTCGCTACTTCCACAAATTCGGCTAATTCCGGGAAGTGGTCTCCGCTCATGTAGCACACAGATCTGCCCTCGTAAGCAAGCCGCTCAGGGCACTTGCAGCCAGCTTATAAGCTAGACCGGCCAGATACATCTGACCTTCGCATCCACTTAAAACCTCCTTAACACCCCTCAGCAACCAACGCGGTCATCCAAGTAGGGATCAGAAACACAGTCAGGCCAGCGCTGGGCTCCAAGAGCTGTGTGAATGCCACCGGGGCCGCCCGAGCACTGACCTGACCACGCAGCTGCGGAATTGTCACTACAAAGCCACAGTGAGTCAAGTCAGACCTCGGGCCTCCCAGGCATCATCTGAAGGGACAGGGCCGACCTGAATGCTGTTCAAACCCTTCTCTGATTTCTGGATATCTCCCGCCGAACTTGCTCCGGGGCGAGGGACATTGAGCTTGGAACGGCAATGCATCGCCGATAGATCGGCGGTGCGCCCAAGATTGCGCAACCACACGTTCCTGGGCGGGCTGGGACTATGCGCCTAGTCATCTGGCGAGGCCAAAACAACTTTTTTGTCCAGCGCAATGTTTTGGAGAGGGGGGAAGGGGAAGGGATGAGAACTCGCGAAGCACCAATCAACAACCACCACAAAATGGTTCCAAAGTCTGGCTGCCGGCTGCCGAATGCACGCGAATATGCGCTACCTCCAGGCCCGAAACAAAATCCCTGGACTGGGGCAGCGAAGCACCTGCAAATGACACGGAATCGGCGCATGGAAGCGGGGATAGAGAGAGAGAGAGAGAGGGGGAAGGAGGAGGAAGAGGAGGAGACAGGAAAACCTGGATAGCGAATAAAGCGAATCCCCTAGAGACGTATCGGTCAGACAGCGGCACGGCAATTGTGTTACAACCCCCCCGTACCAGGTGGCCCAAACGGCCAAGCTGATAAGTCCAGCACAGCAATAAACTGCCGGCTAGCACGATACATCATGCACAAGGCATTGACAAGCGCGGATCCCCTGACCCGCAAGAGAACTCGGCTGCACCACAAGGCGGGCGGCCAACACCACCGAAGCTAGCTGGGCACATGCAGTCATGCAGCGAGGGGGAGGCGAAGGAAGAGGAACATAAGCGAACAAGTTTGCGGAACGCTCAGACGGCAGGGGCTGGGCCGGCTTGCGGTCCAGCGACTGAGGGGAGAAGGGAGGAGACGCGGCGGAGGCGAGGAGGCGGAGGACGAGGAGGAAGAGAGGGGAGGAGGGAAACTGGGATTCTCGCGACGACCGTCGCGTTGAACCACTCGCCCGCCAGGCGGCCGTTGTTCTCCTAAGCACTGGCGAAAAATAAATCGACGGGCTGGCATGCCCCAGAACTCGACGGGCGAGAATGCAAAACTGACCGACGGTCAATTTTCCGCCGATGGCGAAGGAGGGAGGAGGGAGGAGGGGACCGGTACCGGTGCTCCCCATGACCTCCCGGGGTACCTTCTGACCAGAATTTCGAGGAGAACCCAGCCGTGGCCTCGAGGACTCTCTAGGACAAGCAGCGGTATCGGCATCGCTCCCTCCTCCAACTTTATCCTCCCATGTCGTCGTCCCTGACATTGTCACTGACCGACAATCGCTGATGCCTCTGCTTCCGGCCGTGGCCTGGCGGGCGCTCGCCGCCGGCCGGCCGGCGGGGGCGGGCCTTCATGTTCCGCAAGAAACGCGGCATCTGCAGCCACCTCGGAGCTGCGCGAGGCGAGAGAAGGGGGGGAGACCCTTGGATCCGAGCGTCGCATCATTTCCACAATGGGCGAGTTTGCCCTGTTTGAGGTCCCTGGGCCCTCACAGATCGATCCGGCTCGAGAAATGCGGCAGAAATATGGAGTTCAGAGCTTTGGTCGTGACGTTTTCGCGATGTGGTAATCCCACCAACCCTCTGGGCGTGAATGGTTTTAGAACGTTTCCGTTTCCATGCGCTTCGCCCCCTTCGGTGAGGGGCTGACCTCTCCCCCTACACCCTCCCCTGGACCTGGATGGCAAGTTTCGCGAGCGGTTGGAGCGTCCAAAATGGCCCAAGTTGGCTTCGAGAGGGCCTAAGAAAACCGAAGATGACCTCCCAAATGGCTCAAGACATCTCAAGATGGATCCCGACATGCTCCAAGAGGCCCCAGGACCGCCCTAAGACGGCTACAGATGGCCACGGAGCCCCCCCAAGAAAACCACCAAGAGGCCAAACTCCGTCAACAACCCGCGGAAAATCAATGCTTGGTTGCACTCTCGACATTTCGCTCAAGAGGAGCCCAGGAGGGTCCCCAGACGGCCCCAAGAGCGTCCAAGAAGGGTCCAACAGGAAATTTCAGGGGATCTAGAAGGGCGGTGCTACTTGAAGCTCCTCCGCTCTGATCAACTAAAACGTTTGCAACACAATGATTTTAAGGATTTGGGTTTTTGGGGGGCATCTTTGGGAGACTTGTGTCCCAGGAAGGGGCCCCAGGTGTTTTGAGACGGCCACGCTGATGGCGCAAGATCGTCCAAGATGGCCCACGATGGCTTCCAAGATGCTTCCAAAATGCTCAATGACGGCCCCCACAGAGGCCAAGAAACGTCGAAGCCTTCTAAGAGCGCCGCCAGAAGGCCAACATCCTTCAGAAACCTGAGGCAATCAATGTGTGTTTGCCTTCTCGCCCTTTCGCTTTCGATGGCCCTCAGAGGCCTCAAGATGGCTCCAAGATGGCTGCATCCTATTTCTGTTTGCTCGGGTGTAGTTCAAGCCCGTGCGGCTTTTCTGCGCGCGACCTCGTCAATTATCGTAATCCGACGCGGGGGGGGGGGCTGGTCCAGAGAACGTTGTCGGCGAAGCGTCGGTTGCTAAGAATGGCGGTGCTCGCGAACCCCCAACTCCCTTCACTGTCCGCTGCCATTCGGAGACCAGCGGGCCAAGGATGTGTTCCAGGAGGGCGTAGAACAGTACGGAGCTGAGTGGGTCGCCCTGCCTCATGCACCGCAGAAAACTGGAAAAAAACATACCCTGTTGACGCTGATATTATCCGTAGTTGCCTATCCCTCGTAGCAGTCCTGGCACAATGGATCAAGGTTGTACGCCTCGTAGTGCTGCCCATCTGCTCTTTCTTGTGCTCGACTGGGTCGACTGCTTTCTTGTTTTGAAATTGAATGCCGTGACGTTGGCACCATTCGTGTACCCGCTCACGTACTAGGCGGAAGATGAAAAAAGTGGTCAGTGGTCGAATGGCCTGGACTGAAATCCGCCAGGTCGGCAGCCTGGTGGGAGTCGAGCGTTGGTTGTAGCCTGTTGTAAGTATAGCAGTCGGCTGGATAATTTGTGAAACGAAGTGGAAATGTGAGATCTCCACTTTCTGAGAAATGCTGTGATGACTGTGCTCTTCCAGCTGACGGCGGCGGGGCGCTGCGTTGCAAGAGCGTTTTGTATAGGTGGAAAAGTGCGCATCAGAGATATTGCCTGTCCGCTTTAAACATTCCTGCGCGGAGGCCTTTGGTGTCGGGGGCTCAGCCAAACCGGAAACCTTTGACCGCCTTGCTCAGCTCTGTCAACGTGAAAGGTGGTTTTCGGTGGATCTGCTGGTCGGTGGTCCGTGCTCAGTCTGCTGGACTGTTCGTTGGCGGTCGCTTGTCCGTCTGCTGGTCTGCTGGTCGGTCCGCTGGTCGGTCTGCTGGTGGGGGGTCGGTGTGGACGTCATTTGGTTGATGTGGCAGTGGGTGGGTTTGCTGCTCGGTTGTCAGTCGTCGATATGTTGTTTTGCTGGTCGGCGGTCGGTGGTCGGTCTGCTGGTCTGCTGGTCGGTCGGCGGGTCCGGCGTTCGGTCTGCTGGTCTGCCGGTCTGCTGGTGGGCGGTCGGTAAGGTAGTCGTTTAATCGCTGCGGTTAATGGTGGGTCTGCTGGTCGGCGGTCGGTCCGCTGGTCTGCTCGTTGGTGGTCGGTGGTCGGTCTGTTGGTCCAGTGTCCACCGGGTGTTGCTAGAAGTGCCCTGGCCCAAAGTACTCCCAGGATTTCCAAGGAGGCTCCCACGTCCTCTAGAGCACCCCTCACGAGGCCCAGAGGGCCCCGGGGGCTCCAACATCGAGCGAAAAACTGGGAGCACCTTAGGCCAGGGACACCTTTAGCCTTTACCAACTCCCGATGTCCAGCCTGTTGGACTGCTGCCGTTTTGCTGGTCGGCCTGCTGGTCTCTCAGCTGGTCGCTCTGCTTCTGGGGTCGTCGTTTGGTTGCTCCGGCTGCGTCCTGTCAGCTGCCGAGTTGCACAAGTGCTCGTCAGAACCCGCAAACACGATCGCGTTTTACGTGTCATGTCGTGCGTTTGGTGCCCTTTTTGCCTGTCACGTGGGTAATGGGACTTCCTTGTCCCTCGTGTTGTGACCCGTGGGGAGCTCTTCGAACCTTTTGAACTGCTCAAATCGGTTTGCTATATGGGCTCGTCTGGTCGTCCGCTTCTGTGCACGAGTCTCTTGCTGCATGAGTTTGCTCAGTTGCTGGCGGGCGTGGCGGTCGTGGTTGGACGTCTGTTGTCGCTGTGCAACGAAACTGTTTAATCGTGTTGGGTCTTGGTTGGGTTGTTGGTTTGCTTGTGAATTGGTTGGGGTCTCTGGTTCTGTCGCAACACTGCTGGCGGCATCGGCGTCTATGATGTCTTGCTGGATGTGTTCGCTCAGCGTTTGCGGGTCAAAAGGTGGTTGTTGCTGTTGAAAGTGAGGCCGCTGGCGGGCATGGTAAACTTGCGTGTTGGTGGCATTTCTGGTCAAGGATTGAGATGGGAAGGCGTGATCTTGCTGTCGTGTTTCGCCGTCGTGTCGCGGTCGTCAGCTGTGTTTTTTTTTTCCGTCGCAGTCGCAAGCGAAGGCGCATGCGGCGTCAGAGGTCAATCCGGGCTACAGGCGAAGCCTAATTGCCCAGCGCACGCACTCACGGCTGCCGAGGCTGCCGCCGAGGGAGGCTGAGGGGCGCCCGGGGCTGAAGGCAGGCTGAGAAAGCTGCCAGAAACGCCAGGCGGCCAGCGTGCGGGCATCCCAGAGGCGAGACCACCGGGAAGAGGACGAATTGAACCTTGTCGCACCAGGCGCCAGAGGTAGACGCGCCACCAAGCATGGCGAAGCGCGGGGCTGCACAAGCAGTCCAACGTGCGAGGCTGCAGGCCGACAGGGACGAACACACATGGCTGACCAAGAAGGCTGAACCACTCCTGAGCAATCCAGTAGGGCTGAGGCCCACATGCCGGCGGCAGCGGCAGACACGGCCAAGCTGTGGCGGTGACTGGAAACCAGAGGCCAGGGAAGCGCAAGCTCTCTAGCCAGAGCTGGTCAACGAAGTCAGCTGGGGTTACGCGAAGCGTCTAGAGAACGCGGGCGGGCGATTTCGGACGTTTTCGTCGGCTTCTGCAAGTTGTCTTGCCTCGGGGTGCGTTCCAAAAGCTGCGCCTCGCTGCAAGCGCTCCAGGGGTGCCCGGATCGTCCCAGATACGCCCGCGGAGGAGCTTTTCTCTCTTAGGCCCTGGTCCCCGCGCGGGGGTCGCCTACACGCAAGAGTGACCCTGTGCAGCAGTGGCCTTTGGTGCGCGGCTTTCGGAGGCCGCAGGACGGGCATATTCAAAGCGCGCAGGCCAATGCTAGGGCTACACCTGCGGGCCAGCACCAAAGGTCACTCCTGCGAAAGGTCACTCTTACGCGTAGCTGAGGGGGGGGGGGGGAGCATGGGCGATGGCCTGCCGGCAGACGAGGGCGCAGACCCTGGGCACCTCGTGCTAAAACGGCCAGGCCGACCGTTCCGATTGCAACCTACTGCGCCTGGAAGGCTTGTTGCCGCTCGTTCTGCCGATGCACCCGTCTCCGACCTACCATCGATCGACCACCGACACGGAGGAAGACAGAACGGCATACAGTAGGGGCCAGACCACAAGAAACCTTCCACAAGAAACCCAACCCTGAGACCCCGGGACGTCCATTGATTTTGGTGTGGGAACGTCACGCTTTCCATCGCAAAACATCTAACGCAAAAAAAACCCAGGGCACGCTGGAGGCAAGCCGGGTGTTTCTTGGCCTGGGTCTCCACTGTAAACATAAGATTTCGGAAGTCCGCGCGGAATCCTTGGGCCTGCGCTGAAACCGCCTCCCTGTCGCGCTCCGCGCGCCAGGGGCGGCGCCGCCAGAGGGACCCCAGCGCAGATCAAAGAGGTCCGCGCGGAACTCCGACAAGTTATGCTCATGCAATTTGCCCGTCCCGGACCCGTTCCGGACCTACCCGATGCACCCGTCCCGGACCTACCCCCGAGCACCACCCGGATCGATCACCCATCCAGCAGCCACGTGGCCGCCGGCGCCTGGCGGCCCGCGGCGTCGCCGATCGGCATGGGGCTGGGGCGGCCACCCAAAGCTGGCACTCGACTCGGAGAGCACCTCGGTGTGGGATGGGCGTGGAAGGGGAAGACTGGCACGACGAGGACAAAAGAAGAGACAGCTGCATAGACATAGACATAAACTGATGGAGCGCCGCGCAGATTTCTAGGATCGGGGCTGGGCGCCCCCTCTGTGGCGCGCGGAGCGCGCCAGAAGGGGGGACCCAGCCCGAGCGGACTTCCGAGCATTCATGCTCATGCCGTGGTCTTCTTCGAGGCAGAGACGGGCGCCGCAGCGTTGCAAAGACGGGTGCCTCAGCGCTGCTGGCCAGACATGGTGTCCGCGTTGATGGTGCTGCAGGTCCGGGACCCAGGTCTGGCGTAACAAAGTGTCCGTGAGGCATGAACCGCAGGGGCCGTGGATGGTGGAGCAGCCTCTGCCCCTCTCCCTTCCTGTTGCCCCTTCCCCTCCGCGAAGCCACACTCTCCTTGTGCACACAATCTACCATTTGACTCCTCCATTTCCTGACCCACCTCCCATTATCATCATTATGCTCTTGCTCTCTAGCAGAACAGGCGGATGCGACCAGCGCACAACCACAAGGTCAGAGTGAGAAGTAAAGTTGCCTGGACACCCACTGTTAGAAGGAAGCGGGCTGTCCTCACCCCCCTCCCTCTGTACGTCTATTTGCCCCCACCGCTGCCGCAAGGCCGAGAATCGGCGGGCAAATCTCTTGAGTAGCCTTCGGCACTCCTCGCATGAACAAAAACTTTGGGAACTCCGCGCGGATTTCTTGAGTCAACGCTGCAGACTCCCTCCCTGACGCGCGGTGCGCGCCAGGGAGCAGCGCCAAAGGTGCCGCAAGGATGGCCAGCGCAAATCTAGAACATCCACGCACACCTCCGAAAGTCCTGTTCATGCCGATGTCACTGCTTCGTTTGATTCTTCGAGGCCGAGAGAGAGACAGAGAGAGAGAGAGGGATAGAGAAAAGTGCAGTGAAGAGCAGGAGGGCTGGAATGCAAAGAGGAGAGGCATGGGAATGCCGAGATCTGGCCACGGGGACGCGGTGCACTACGGCCGCCACGCAGATAATGTCGACCGGTAAGATCGACAGAAAATCGATGATGAACCAACTGTTGAAGTAGATCCTCCAGAGAGTCGGCATATTTTCTTGACCGCAGGTTGAATCCCCCCTCGGGCGCAGCAAACGCACGTCTTACCGAAACCGGTGGAACAGAGAGGGGGCGGGAAGGGACGAAGGGAAGGACTCACACACACACAGTCACACACACAAACACACACACAGACACACACACAGACACACACACACACACACACACTCACACACACACACACACGCACGCTCGCACGCACGCACGCACGCACGCTCGCACATACCAGCTGCAACATCCAGATGGCAACTCCCCGCCCGCATCCCCCTCTGGCCGACGCAATCAATAAAGATGATGTCCTTGCAATCTCGCGGGGCTGCCGTTCGTAGAGTCCAGGGCGATGGGGATCCTCCTGCGCAGTCACGAACTGGAGCAACAAGTCAATGACGAACACCGCATCGATCAAGCGGTTGATTAAGAAACACCAGCCTAATTCAGGCGTCACAAAGACAGTTTCGTACGGGGCGCCAACTGCCACGAAGCAGAGCACCACACCTAAAATGATATCCCAGACCATGAGGAACGTGGACGTGGCAGGGTCGATAATGCTAAAACCACAAGGTAGCTGAGTGCCATTTTGACATTCTCGCCGCTGGCCACGTGGCTGGCCATGTGCTTGGTTCCAGAAGCCCTGAGCCCAACACGACGACGTCTCCCTTGAGTTTCCGCCACCTTCCGCTGGCGAGCCTACATTTGGTCGGGCATGTCCCCCTACAGGCCGATTGCCGACGAAAAATTAGGTGCCCCCCCCAAAAAATAAGTGGCCCAAAAATGATCAAACAATCGTCCCCAGACTATGTTTGGACTATTTTTGCATAATCCTCCTGTAGAAGGACAGACTCGACTTAAGCCTACCATCGCTTTACTCCCACCAACCTCCGCCGACCTCCCGGCGCGCTCCGCCGAGAAGAGGGAAGGCGAGTGTCCGACATCTGGGAGGGCGCTGCACGCGCATCCTTGAGCAGGGCCCGACCGTCCCGGCATCCCTATAGGCTAGCCACGGAATTCTTTAAGAACCCAGCAATGTTCTAAGAACAGAAACAATGTTCTCATAACATAAGCCCGACGTGTCAAAACAAGACAGACTCAGCCAGAGATGTTCTAACAACATTTCGCACAGACCACAAGAGGTTCTCAGAACATTCTTTGGTAGGCCTGGAGGCGAGCCAGGGCGCTTCGCCACTGCTTGACATCCCTGCCTGCCGTGCCCCCGCACAGCATCTGGTTGCGGCGTCCGGGTTGCGGCCGTGGGGCGCCGTGCTCCCCCTCGTGTGTGCTGACACCCCGCCATGTGGATCCCCCTCCTCATCCGCCAGCATCCCTCCCGCATCCGCCTCCTCGTTGCCACCCTCTTTCGCCCCTCCTCCCTCTCATCCGTCATCCCCCAGCGGTCCTTCGCTCACGCACTCTCCTTATCGTCGCCCGTCCACTTCCCCCCGCTCGAGCGAGTCGACCGTTCACTTCAGTGGTCCTGGCGTGGACTCTGACTCCGCAGTGTGGTGCGACGGGATCAGGTTTTCAGCGCCAACCGAGATCCCGAGGAGGGAGAGAGAGTCAGGGAGGCAAACTTAAGCCTAAGCCGACAGGGGAGGCGACCCCCATTCCGTCATGCGGAAGAGGGGGAGCGGCCCCAGACAAGCTGAGGCCCGGCTGGCCTGAGAGGCCAGGTGCCCAGATCCCTCGCAGTTGCCGCCGCCGCCGCCGCCGTCGCGTTCGAGGCTCGGGCGGCTTGGCCGCGCTCGACCGCCTCGGAATAGGAAAGCCAGACAAGCTGTGAACCTCTCGCTTCGTCAACCTTCGGGGATGGACAGAACCCCCTTTAGCAAAACGTGGTTTAGTGAGAACGACCGGAGGCCCAAACCTGGCGGGCGCAAGCCTGGAAAATGACGGCCACGGCGCCCTCTCGAGAACCGAAAACGGACAATCCACTAATCGACGTGTCACTGCTGGGGGTTCTGTCCGCCCCCGAAACCTGCCTGGAGTACAGGGGCGCCGCCTGGGCCAGGGGTGGGAGGGGGGGAGTCTGGAAGGCTCGGGTGGGAGCCTCCAAGGCCGCCTCTGGGCGATCGTGCGGGCCTCGTGGGCCCTCGGGCTTTGCAGCATCGACCGACAAAAAGGCGAGAACGCGGGAGCACGGTGAGAACCTGGAAGACAAACCGGCTGATGTTGGCCTGCGGGGTCTCTCCCGAAGGAAGGTGTAGGGAGGTGTAGGGTTAGGTCGGGCATGTCCCCCATACAGGCGGATTTTGGAGGAAGAATCAAAAATAGCCAAAATGAGTATTCAAACATAGTTAAACCATGATTAAAACATCGTCCCCTGACTATTGTTGGACTAGTTTTGAACAAGTCTCCTCTGTGGTGATGCTGATGGCGATGGACACGCCCGACTTGAGTGTGGGGCAGGGCGACGGGGGGTCGCCGAAACGAGAGATATGTGCTCGCTCGTGCCCCACGGACGAGCAGCTCTCGCCCCTTGAGATGTGCTCACTTGTGCCCCACGAGATATGCTTGATGGGCCTGTTTTCCAACACCACCACCATAAGTTGGAGGGGGAGGGGTCCTCCTCCTCCTCCTCCTCCTCCTCCTCTTCCTCATCCTCTTCCTCCTCCTCCTCCTCCTCCTCCTCCTCTCCCTCCTCCTCCTCCTCCCCCTCCTCCACTCGTGCCCCCAAGATCTGCTCACTCGTGCCCCGCGAGATACAGTGGGGGCCCGACCACAAGAAACCCTCCACAAGAAACCCAACCCTGAGACCCCAGGACGTCCATTGACTGTTGGTGTGGGAATGTCACGCTCCCAATCGCAGAACCATCGAAACACAAGAAACCCAGGGCACCCTGGAGGCAAGCAAGGTGTTTCTTGGCATGGGCCCCCACTGTATGCTCACGTGTGCCCTTCACGGTGGCTTGCTCTGCCCTGGTTAGGTCTCGGCCGACCCCGGTTCGCCAAACGTCGCGCTGCCCGCCGTGCTGCTCTGCCCAGCTGTCTGTCTCCTGCCCCACGCTCGCCATCACTTGAACGCGCTGAGCGTCTTCTCTGCGGATCCCATGGATATAGTCGTGCACGTGTGCGTCCACATCGCCCTGCCCCCCCTTCACATCCAGCACTCGCGTCGGAATTATTGTTATTTCATGTGTACTGGGACTTCCGATTGGTTTGGCCTGCCTTGCCTCGCTGTGCCTTGATCTGATCTGACATGTAGTGCGTTCATATGCGCGTCGGCGCTGATTGTTATCTTGCAGTGCCATGATCTCGCCTGTCTGGTCTCGCCGCGCCTGGCCGCCCAGGGCCTGCAAGATCCCATATTCTCCAGGCATGACGTCCACAACCGGATGACCTGTGGTCACTCGAAACGGCTCTGGCAATTACTGGCGACAATGGCTAACTAGTGCCCGCTCAAAAAATCAAGTGTCCTCACCCAAGTGTTCCACGACGTCTCTGGAAGCCAATATCTGTTCCTTCACCACTGAATGCGTAGGCGACGTAGACCTGGTGAAGTCGTACAACAGTTCAATTTCGGACGAACTTGTCCCCGCACCACCGAATGGGCTGTCCCGAGAGGGGTTCAACGGCAACACCGGCACCTGCCTCGACAGTCTGTTAGAATCGCCCTCGTCGGAGTGGCCATCAAGAGGATACGAAGCATTTCTACGTAACGAAGGAGCCGCAATTGATGAGGTGAGCACTCGCGAGTACTCCTTCATGTTCTTGTGCCTGCAAGGAGCCAGCGCCAATTTTCATTCCGAGGCCCGACGCCAAGGATCAGACACGGTGGACGGGACGGGGAGATGGAGAGGGGGACAGGGATGACGACGACGCGGGAGGACTAGAAAGTCTGAACAAACCGGCTTATTAAGAGAAATGAGAGGGAAGACAATGCAGAAAAGTAAACGGAGGAGCTGGCAAAGACGGGGACAGAGTGCCCAAGCGAGCCTGTAGCAGCAGGAACAGAAAAGCGCCTGGGAGGAGGAGAAGGCAAGAATCTCGTAATCGAATCGGATCGAGACAGCTGGAATCGATACCGACCTGGATCGATCGGGTCATGGGCCGTAAGGGAGGTGGAGTTCGAGCTACCACTCGGGCCTCCGGCGGCCCTTAGAGAAGACCCAGGCACCCCCGGAACGTTCTCGGCGAGGAGTTTTGCTGCTGGGACGCACCCCAAGGCAAGAAAAACTGCTGCAAACAACGGGAAGGACAGAAGGCCTCGCACTCCGGGCAAATCAGAAACCTCGCGAGCCCACCTCGACGAACGCCCCCTCTGCCCCCCCTGACCCTGGAGAGGGGGAACGAGGCAGACACCCGCGGCTGCTTCTCTCCAGGACACTGTTCCAGACAGTACGAAAGGAACTGCGCCACCAATTCACTCTCAAGCCCGTGGTCAGCCCCGCCCAGACACCCTCCCTGGTAACGTCACGAATCGCTCTGGCGCCGTCAAGGAATTAGCTACGCACTCCCACACGGCGCCAGCGCGAATCGCGACGTTAACAGCCCCCTCCCTACCCCCCCCCGGTCACGCCCGTTATCGCCAAGGGATTTAAACATTGTCTCTAAGTGCCTCAGGTACCGAGCCCCCGACGCGATCGGTAGATCGTCGCACGCTCCCGAGAAGGGCGGGCGATCGGATCCGCATCGGCGATTATCATGGGCGATCCCTGAGATCCGATGACTTGACAAAACGACAACACCGTGAGCAACCGTTCAGCGCCAATGCCGGATGGATCCGTGATGGCCCCGGGGCCCGACACAAGTCCAGATCGCTGGTTGCGAGAAGACTGCGTCGCCGGGATCTCTGGGAACGCTGCGATGCCCCACCCGCCGACCGGGCCTCGGAGAGCCGACTCCCGTGGTCGCCATGGTACGGGCCCGCAGGGAGCTCCGCGGGCTCCGCCAGCTCCGAGGGCTGCCGGCGGCCTCGGCGGGGGGCCGCGCCGAGCACTTGACTGTTGCCCGTCCTCTGCCAGCCTCAAGGCTCTGTCGGATCGACGACGGCGGCCACGGGCGATGACGAGGACGGTGACGACGAGGACGAGGACGAGGACGGCGACGGAGGTGGTCCACTGGGCCTACCGCCTTCCCTCATCACATCCTCGTCCCCTCTGCGAGAGCAGCCGGACGCTGCATCCGACGTTCGACGACGACCTCGTCCACTGCCGCCCTCCCTGGCCCCACGCTTTCCCCCGTCTCCCCACCCTCCCCCCTACTCCCTCCACTCCTCGTACACAGAGCGTGGTCTGTATGGGTTTTTCTTCTTGAAACCGCCGGCCGCGCTCGCACTCGCGGCCTATATTCATTCGCAGCGCGAGCCAAATCCGCACATCGGGCTGCCATAGGACAGGCCGAATAAGGAAACGCAGAGTTTTTTGTTGTTGACCACGGCATGCCTCGGCCGCGAATAATCGGTTCCCTTTCCTAGATGCGAATCGGGCCCCTAAAACCTGGATCTTAGGAGCGGTCCTAAAGCCAGAGCCTCCCCGAGCCAGAATGGTCCTTACTTGGGAGTCTTGGCTGTAACGTCACACCTTCCGCTTCTACTTTACCTCGTTCGCACGTGGAGGCGGTGAGGGAGAGGGGCAAAGAGAAGTGACCCAGGACGTCCAATGGCACCCGAAGCATCTGTGACTCGGGCTACGTCTTCCGCTCCCCGCCCTCAACGACAACTTGCCAATCTAGAAGACGGAACAAACACATCAACGTAAACTTTTGGCACTCCGCGCGGATTTCTTGGATTCACGCTGGACCCCCCTCCCTGGCGCGCGGAGCGCGCCAGAGGCAGCGCTGGAGCCGCCACCGGGGGGCCCCAGGCGCGGATCCAAGAAATCCGCGCGGAGGGCCAAAAAGTTGATGTTTATGTGTGTTTGTTTCGTCTTCGACCATCCCCCCCCCATCCTCGTGGACGCGCCTACCCAAAATCTGCGCTGACCCAGGTCACCCGGGGTCATGTCCACCCATCCTCGGGGACGCGCCTACCCTCAAGTCGGGCATGTCCCCCTACAGGCGGTTTTTGACTATATTTGAATCGGCCACCTGTAGAGGGACAGGCCCGACTTGAGCCTGCCCAACTCTGCGCGGACCCGGGTCGCCCGGGGCCACGTCGCCGAGCGGGCCGGCCGCGGCACGCTCCCCCGCCCCGGGCACCCAGAGCAGCATGGGCGGACCCGCTTCGCTTCTGAATTCAAAAAAAAACTAGTTTCTGAATTCAAACAACTGGTTTTTGTGTTAAAGCAATTGGTTTATGAGTTTTTGAATTGAAAAGCCAAGCTCTCCACGGCGTGGTAGCATGGGCGGACCCGCTTCGGACTGACCCCAATGACTTGCGCCGGGACCTTCCGTCCCCTCCCCCCATCCTTCGCCCCATGCCCTCTTCCGCTCTTCCCCCCCTCCCCGTGCTTCACTGTTTCCGTCGGCACTTGCCCCCTCCTTGACCTCTCCCTCCTCCCCTTCCAGTGCCTCCCCCATCATTCTTCCTCTACTGCTTCCCCCTAGCGCGTTTCCCCTCCCTCATTCCTTTCTGTTTCCAGTCTTCCACTGTTCCATGTTACTCTCGTCGCCTTTGTTCACGCCATTCCCCCTGCTGCTCCCTCCCCCCACTCCGGGACCAGGAGTGCTTGAAAGGGCGAGCTCTCCCTCGCCTGCCCCCCAGTCAGGCTGCTCACTTGCTTCTGGCCCTCCTTGGGCCCACCGACGCATGCACCTGCAACACGATCATTCAAAAAGGCCCCACTCGAAGCTGAGGATGCGCTCAATCCCGCCAGAAGGCTGTCGTCTGCGGAGAGGGATCCCCCCGCACCTCATATCCTTGCCCCTCCCTGGGGGTGGCACGAGGGTGGTGGCACTCTGACAAACCAAAGGACTTCTTAGAAGGCGCGGGCCTTCTCAGAAGACCCCGGACACTTCTAAGAAGGTGTCTCAAAAGCCGGAAGGGACCCTGAGGAGCGCACCTGCTTTCACAGAAGCCCCCGACCTTCTTACAAGGCCGCCTCCATCACGCTACCCCTGGCGAGCGCCGCCAATCTACCCCCTTGTTCCCGCCTTTCTGTCTGGACGAGGTGGAAGCTCCCAGTCGCCCCCCACGTGCCTCTCGATGAGACGCAGCATGGCGCGCGGCCCATGCAAGAAGCGAAATCCCCAGATCAATAAGCCAAGACCATCACCTCCCCTGAGGAGGGAGAGCGGGAACGACAACTGGCCGAAAACATAGTGCTGCTTTATTTGTCGTCGACGACCAAGGATCGGGCACTCCGACCGGACCTGGTTGCTTTTGCCTGAAGACAGAAGTTCTTTGAGCCTTGTAGGTCGGGGGATTGGGGACAGGATCTACCAGCACCTCAAACTTTACCCTACCGAGGTGGCCGAACGGGCTTGGACTGTCCATGGGTGCGGGGCTGTGATGGAGTCCCGCAGTGTGGATTGTCGATCCTGTTACCATAATTCTTGCCGTCGCCCCGCACCCAATCTCGCGATCCGCCCCGCGACCCGCCGGCTACTGGCCCGAGACTCGCCGACGACCCGCCCGAGATCAGCGCCAACCGCCACACGCCCCGCGACCCGCATGAGTCTCGCGCCCCCTAAATGCCTGAGCGCTCCTCACTCTTGTCCACAACTGCAGAAGGGGGAGGGGGTGCACCTCGGCGTCCTCAGGTAATCCCAGGCCCACTGCTCGCGGAGACGATTCCCAGCTCCGTCATCTCCGCGCACAGTGCAGGCTGTGCACTCTGACCCCTTCCTCGGCGGTGCCTTCGTGCGCGGGCTTGGTACGCCAACACCGTCGTCGTCTAGCAGTAGCCGCTTCCTGAACTCCTCGGGCCGTTCGACTGGCACTGCCCTGCCCGACAGACTGAGGGAATCTTACCCCATGATTCCATCGTAATTCAGCCGAGGCTGAAACTGGAAACGCCTGCTTCTAGTCAACATTGCGCGAAGTGCGACTCGGCAAAGGTGGAACACTTTTGGCGTCGCGGCTTCGCGCGCAGCGCCGAGGCGTGGAAGGTCGAAGAGCGGAAAGCGGGAAATAAGCGCGGCCGGCCCACTCAGAAGCCAAGGACACTGATCCACCCATAGGGGATCAACCGTGCCATACGCAACCCCGGGCCAGGGATGCGGGGGGAAGGACGCGGGGGAAAGACGTGGAGAAGACGCAAGGCCAACACCTACAACGCATGTGGGACAAGACGAGTCGGAATGGCAACAGCAAGGGCGAGACCGCGAGGGGCGAGTGACAAGCCAGGACTCGAGTATATCGACGCCTGAATGTATCTGTTCCGCCGAATCCACAACATAATGCAACTCACGTTCGTGGATCTACGAACAATATACGTATCTTTCGTGGTCTCAACAAATTACCCGGGACGTACCAACCCCTTCCCCACGCAAGGCATCAATTGAACGAAGTGCCTTTTTAAAGGAACGCATTGGAAGACAGGCCACACTCTTGCGCACGACGATGCCAACAATTGTGCAGCTCCCAGCCTCGCTGGGAGCCACGATATCTCCTCAGGACGCGCGGACCCAGACGGGGACCTCGCTGCTCCCATCGGTGGCTGCGAACTGCGCGACTGTCGCCATTTTCGCGGGCTCCTGGGGGGTCCAGCGGAGTCGGGGGCCACGCGCACCCAGACGAGACCTCGCTGCTCCCTCGGTGGCTGCGAACTGCGCAACTGCCTAAATTGTCGTAGGCTCCTGGGATGTCCAACGGAGTCGGGGGCCACGCGCACCCAGACGGGGACCTCGGGTGGCTGCGAAAAGCGCAACTGTCGGCACTCTCGCGGGCTCCTGGGAGGTCCAGCGGAGTCGGGGGCCACGCGCACCCAGACGATGCATCGCTGCTCCCTGACCGGCTACGAACTTCGCAGGTGTCGCCACATTCGTGGGTTCCTGAGAGGTCCTTCGGAGTCGGTGAGATTTCCCCGCCCGTTGTCCGAATCAAATCGTCGCAAGGCAAACCAGGAACCTCACTTGAGCCGATCTGCGACATGCGAATTCCTTGAGTGAGCCTTGGCCCGACAGCAAAGCCTCAAGGATTTTCGGACCCGGGTCAATTCAGACCTCGGTCAGTCAAGCCTTGCAGAAACCTGCAAAATCCTGCCAGATCCTGCGCCCTGACCCGGGTCAATGCGAAAGAACCTGCAAGATCCTGCAGGATCCTGCAACCCAGCTACCTGCGACAAGTCCCGCCGCCATGCCAGCTCCGCCCTCTCCTCCTCCTCGATCCTCGATCCTCCTCCTCCTCCTCCTCCTCCTCCTCCTCCTCCTCCTCCTCCTCCTCCTCCATCCTCGATCCTCCTCCTCCTCCTCCTCCTCGTCCTCCTCCTCCTCCTCCTCCTCCCCCTCCTCCTCCTCCTCCTCCTCCTCCTTCTCCTCCTCCCCCTGCTCCTCCTCCTCCTCCTCCTCCTCCTCCTCCTCGGGTGCTCTGGCTGACCCTCGTTTGCGCTGGCCCCCGTCTCAAGGCTTCCGATAAACCTTGGCCCTTCGGGCTTTCCGGGTGAGAAGGATCTACTGGTACTACGTACAATGCGTCCTCCTTGGAGGCGCTCGTCCGAATCGAACCAAGAGCAGAAGCATCCTGTGCAGTCATCGGCCTGACCTAAGGAACGATGAATAAGGAACGCACAAGTGCACGTTTTCTTAGGCGGCGTTTTGACATTGGGCGGGAAGGAAGGGGGGTCTGGCTCCGGAACACTGCTCAATGCCACTGTTTGCAGCACTGGGTCCTACGGGAGAGACTCCGCCTGCCCGAAACAGGGGCCAAAAAACAGCCAAGATTTACTCCGAGGAGGAGGGTGGGGGGGGGGGTACGAGGGCCCGCGCCGATCGGCAAAACAGTGATTAAAAAACGCTCACCAAAGAGCACAGGCATCATGTGTGGTTGTTTCCCACTGACCACAAAGACGGGCTCGGTGCGCCCGCCCTTACGGAATTTAAGCCCCCTCGGGAGTCCACGGCCTCAGCCATCTTCCGCCACTCCTTTGATTGCCAGGCAACGACGCGCTAACTGATATCTGAAAGCACGCACTGCGGCAGACATAAGCTCGCCATCAAGAGCATACTCATACAATTCAAGATGCACTGCAAACCTCTGCTCAAATCACTCAGGCTCTGTCCACACGCCAAATGGAATCTCTTCCCATTGCAACGCCCTCAGCAGCCTGCACGAAGCCTTCGAGGCAGACGAAACGCTGCTCGAGATGTTCCTTGGTCCCCTTCTGGTACTGGGCCCCCGCCAGGCTCTGTAGCGTCTCTCCCAGGAGCCGGTGGTGCATGGGCCCAATTTGCACCTTGCTGCACCTGGCTGCCAGGCGAGTCCACTGCTCGCCCTGGGGATGGCCCCGCACGGGCGGCTCCCTGCCCCAGGTCGGCTCCCTCGGCTCATCGAGCGGGCCCTCCGCGTCGGGCGGCACGAGAACAAGGACCCCGAGCACCGCGCAGCAAGCTGCCCGCGCGGCCGTGCTTCGCGCGGCCTTCGGCGGCAGCTCCCCGAGGGCGTCGCCGGCGAGTTTCCGCTCGGCCATCGCGTCCGCCGCCCTCTGGTACGCGGCCTGGTTCTGCGACGCGTGGAGGGGCAGGTGCTCGCCGTCCAGCCCGCTGGCCAACGCCGGCCACGCTGGCACTGCCGGCAGCAGCACCATGCCGCCGTCGACCTGGTCGTCCCAGTCATCGGCCCAGCGCCTGCGCTGCTCGCGCTTGCCCTTACCTGCGCCCCGTACCTCGGCCACGATGCTCGCATCGCTGGCCGCCGCCACGCCATCGCTGCCTTCCGAGGACGGTGTCTCGGACGCAGCGGCATCAGGGTCTGCCCTTGCGCTGTCATAATAAGCCTCGGGCTCCCCTGGCACGAACTCGCTCACCGACTCTGCGCCGCCTGGGCGCCGCCGGCCTCCTCGTCAGTCTCTCCGTCGACTACGAACACCTGCTTCACAAGGTCGCTCACCCTGCCAACGTCGCCGTCCACATGCTGGCCCACTGCCGCGCCTCCCATGGGCCCTGCAACCACAGCTCCCGCGGCAGGGCCCTGGTCAGCGCGCCAGGCGCCGTCCACAAAGCGCCACCACGTCGGCGGCCTGCCATGCGGGAGCGATTCTGGGTCGCCGCGCTCTGGGCCCAGAATCCTGGCCCCGCCGCCCGCGGCGGCCCTGGCGGCGTCCCCGGCGGCCTCGGCAGCGTGCTGGGGCGATTCTGGGTCGCCGCGCTCTGGGCCCAGAATCCTGGCCCCGCCGCCCGCGGCGGCCCTGGCAGCCCCAGCGGCGTCCCCAGCGGCCTCGGCCTTGATGCCGTCGGCCTCGGCCTCGGCCTCGGCCAGCACCGCGAAAAGCCCGCCGAGGTCCACGGGAACCCGTGACCTGCCCTGCAAAACCAACGCCCGCAACTCCATGCACTCCTCGGCCAGCTCGGACGCCAGGTCGAGCGCCTCGTCGCGCTCCTGCTGGAGGCTGCGCAACTCTGGCAAGGCCTCGTAACATACGCCCCTGCGCTCCCAGTCGGAGTCCACCGACCCGGTCTCCGAGCCAATGTCGTACTCGTCCTGGGCCCCCTCGCCGCCTTCGGGCGGCTCGCACAGCGCCTCGTTCCCCTTCCCCACAGCAGCCGCCGCATGGCCGCCCACCGACGACGCATCCCCCGCCCTGGGAGCTTCAGGCACCTGCTGGGCGGCGCGCCCGGCGGAACCCGCCCAGCGGAGCGCTGGCTCCACCGCCGCACCTCCGACAGCGGCTGCACCTTGCGGCGTGGCGCTGCCACCACCGCCGCGCGCACCGCCGCCTCCACGAGGTACCCGACCTGCTCGCCGCCTGGCCCCAGCCAGGCCGCAAGCGGGCCACCGGCAAGGCGGCCCATGGAGGCGAGGGGGGAGGAGGACAACCCCCGCACGCCGCGCCCCGCGGCCCCACCGCCACCCCGCGCCCCGAATGAGACCGCTCGCGGGCGGAGCCACTGAGCCACGATGGCCACGGCAAGCTCCAAACCCCCCGAAAGGGGTGGGAACTTGAGCCAAAATGGCTACGGGCACAGGCATCCTGTAGTGTCACGTTCCCCAGGCGGCATGGCCAAGAGGCGCCCGCCACCGAGAATAGGCTGCACGATTTCTGAGAGCGCGCGGGTCGCCTTTGGGGGGGGGGCTCCTCCTCCTCCTTCTCCTCCTCCTCTTCCTCCTCCTCCGACTCCTGGGGGGGGGAGACGCACCACATAATATAGATCAGTTGGGGTGATGCCGATCGTGGCAACAGCGAGGGACTCACGGGCAGCTCGACTGGGCATCGGATCCGACGAGGGTGGGCCGCCAGAGGCAGGCTCTGCGGGAGGAGGGAAGAGGAAGGAAGGAGCAGCGGACGATGAATTCGACGACACACGGAGGGCGGGGGCTCAACTATTATCAAAAACGCTGGGGGGACGCTTTGTGTCTTAAAATGCCGTGTTTGTTGTGTTTCCGTAGCGGCGTGACAGAAGCGCTGTTTTGGGCTGCAATGTTTTTCATGATTGGGGTTGCCGTGCTCGGCTCGTGTTGGGCCTGGCGGGTGTCGTGCTTGCTATGGGTTGGGTTGCCTTGTTTTCTGTGTTGGCCGACCGCAACACAAAAAGTTGAACATGAAACTAAACGCCCCCAGCGTTTTTTAGAACAACTACTGACGGGGTTGGAGGATAGACCATCACGAGGAGGGAAAGGGAGGATGACGAGCAGGCGGAGGAGCAGCAGCACTGTTGAGCAGGGCGGCGCAGAGGATGGGCGATGAGGGGGAGAAATGGGAAGGATGGCTCGTACCGAGAGGCGCACCGAGTCCGCGTTCGATCTGTCGACAAGGAAGCAGCGACACCCACCATTCATGACCACTGGAGCCAACCACGCCAGAATTGAAGCTAAAATGCTGTCCTGGCACTGTAGGCGAGGTGAAGATAGACAGGAGAAGAAAGAAGGAGGAGGGGAAGGTCGAGGAGCAGGAGAAGGCAGGAGGGGAGGAAGGAAGGAGGGAGGAGCGAGCAAAGATTGAGAGAGGAGCGAACATCGGGGAGGGGCGCACATCCTGCTTGTAGGCCGAACGCCTTCTGTTGAAGTGGTCGATCATGGAGTCTGGACCCACGATTCTCTACGGGCGCGGCGGCCAGCGCGAGGTTGTCCCTGTCTGGCTGCCCTCCTCATTCAGAGGGTGGAGGAGGGGGAGGAGGCGCGGAGGAGGAGCAGGAGGAGACAGCGAGAGAGAGGAGGAGCGCAGGAGGAGGAAGGTGAGGGTAGGAGGTGGAGCCGTAAGAAGAGGATGAGGCGGAGGAGGAGGAGGAGGAGGAGGAGGAGGACACAGGCAGGGACGGAGAGGGGCAGCAAATGAGAAGGGGAGATGGGAAGGAGGAGGAGGAGGAGGACCAGTGCAAACCCAAGACTCAGCAACGATGTTGGAATACATCCTCCCTCCAAGCACCCTCTTCATAGGCCCCGCAGAGATTCATTTCCACTGAGGGAAGTGCCCACTTGGGAGAGAACCATTTGAATATCCTGAAGCGTGCCGACAACACCATTCTCAGGACTTCAACGCCACGGCTCAACCTGACTGTTGCGACTTGACGACCCTGAATCGTGCCAGAACACAATGCCTGGGACCCCAACACCGTGAATCAACGTAACCGGTGCGCCCTGACAACCTTGAATCGCTCCACAACACTATTTCTGGTGCGCTAACCATGGGGATCCGTGAACTAAGACGGATGAGCTCGGCGCTAAGGCGAGATCCACAACTTGAAAAGGAACCGCCCTCAATCCGCGGGGCTCTTGCAATTTGGGACATGTGTGCGACGCGCTGCGGCGAGAAGGACGTGTTGAAACTGACCCGCCCTCAATATGTAAACCGCTTGCAATCGTTGAAAATGCACGACACTAAGACGAGAAACACATACTGAAAACGAGCCGCCCTCACTCCGCGAAACCCTTGCGAGGATTTAAGGTCGAGCAGGCGCGGCGCCAAGAAGATGACCGCCAATTGGAAACCAGCCGCCCCAAATCCGCGAAACCCTTGCAGTTCTTCACGGGCGCGCACGGCGCTTCGGAACGAACGGCATTTCGAAGACCACCCGCCCTCAATCAACAACCCCTTGCAGAATTTGTTTAACATGTGCGCGGTGCCAGGGCGAGAACAGCATGTGAAACCACCCGCTCTCCGACTGCGAAGTCGTTCCAATTGCTTAAGCTTCATATGCGAAATAACAAAAAAACGAGTGGGGAAGCCTCAGGCGAAATGCCCGACCCGCCCTTCCGACTGGCCTCAGTGTGCGACAGGGAGGGGTTGGTTATGAGCAAAAGGCATGGGGGAGGAGGCGTAGGAGGAGGAGGGAGGAGGGATGCAGGAGGACGGGGCTGAGGCCGCAGAGCGCCTGGCCGCTCCGCTGCGGCCGCCCCGCGGGGGCCTCCCCGTGCGCGACGGCGCCCCCCGCGCCGAGGCCGCGGCCGCGGCGGCGGCCGCCCGCTCCCGCGGCGCCCCGCGTGAGGGGATCGAGCCATGCTGGCTGGGGGGAGGTGGGAGGCGATGGGGAGGCGTGGGGGCTCGGAGGAGGCGCGGGGAGGGGAGAGGAGGCGGTGGGGGGATGGGGGTCTCAGGGGACTCGCCTTCCCCGGGTTGCTCCTCCTCCTCCTCCTCCTCCTCCTCCTCCTCCTCCTCCTCATGGTCCTCCTCCTTCTCTCTCCTCCACATAGTTGAACTCCTCCTTCTCCTCCTCCTCCTCCTCCTCCTCCTCCTCCTTCTAACCATTACCCTCCTCCACATCCCCATCCTCCCCATACTCATCTCTCCCCCTCCCATCTCTTGTCCACATGTTTTGTCATCCATCCTTTCTTCCTCATCCTCTCATTCCTCCCTCCCATCCATCCCTCAACTCCAGCCGCTCCAGCCCTGATCATGCTACTGAGCATGCTACTGTCCTTGAATATGTTAGACAGGATCTGCAACCGAAACCGAGTCGACGACCCTACACATACGTCCATGCTGCTGAACATTATGCTCCGACTCTGCCTCTGCTTGCCGACGTCTTCCTCCTACCCCACATTCTCTCCAGTCCGTCACATGCCCTCAAAAGGTGCCCGATCCCCCGAATCAAACATAACAGGCAACAGAACACGGTCCAGTCCCGACCGCGGACTGCAGATCTATGTCTCCTGCGAACTAGGTTCGTCTCGTTATCATTTACCTCCAGAGGGGGCCCTTCCTCCCAGGCTTTCCTGGCGATGTGTCGTGCCTGCCACGCGCGGGCAATGCCCAAACATCAACGCATGTCGGCTTGAACACATCCTGGAATACGATATCTTATGGCACATCTCCGAGCCTCAATCCGAAAAGGGAACGAAGCTTTCCAGGGCACGTGCCGGGTAGAGAGTCTGCTTTCCATGGCCAGGCCATCATCAAGCGCAACCTACGGGCGTGTAATTCCCCTCTCCCGCTGGAGGCTGCCAAAGGCTGTCGTGGACGAGTGTGCCCCCAATCTGTCGCGCCACTTCCTCGCCCCTGGCACAGGCGGGCGCGCCGCCAGCGCTCCAGCGCGCGCTCCCTTGTCCGCGCCTGGAAGGGGGCGCGGTCGCCGCTGCTGCAGGCGCGCCTCGTGGAGGCGGCCCGCCTGCTGGACGCTCACCACGGGTCCTCGGCTGGCAGCATGGCTGTGGGCGCTGGGCGTCGCGGTGGCGGTGGCGCAGGGCGGCAGCCTGGGTGGCAGTGCCCGTGCCAGGGATGTGGCTACTACAACTTCGGGGAGCGGGACACGTGCCGTGTGCTGGGGTGCAAAGGCAAGCGACCCCCCACGAGGCGGCCCGCGGAGCTGGGGGACTTCGTGGTGCGGCCGCGCCCACGCGCTCCTCGTGGACCTGGGGCAGGCGAGGGTGGGCAGCGCGCGGGCGGTGGTGGAGCGCCCAAGCGAGCCCCCTGGTGGCCTGACGACCGTGCTGGTGCTGGTGGGGGTGGCACCGCAGCAGCTGGTGGTGGTGCAGGTGCAGGAGGTGAGGGCACTGGCATCAACGAGGAGCTGTGGCACAAGCTGGTGCAGTTGCCTGAAGACGCCTTCAAGGTCAGCGCCCAGCTGCTGGACGCCAAGACCAAGCGCGGGATTCTCCAAGCCAGGAGGTTGGCACAGGAGGGGCTGGGCGACCTCTCCAAGGTCAAGGAGGTCAAGGCGGCGCAGCTGCGGGCCGACGAGAAGTCCGTGCAGGTCACGAAGGCGGAGGGCCAGCTGGAGCAGGCCAAGGCGCGGGCTCATCGCGCTGTCGCTGAGATGGCGGAGCTGGGGGAAAAGCTGGTGCAGCTGCGGCGCGAGCTGGAGGAGGCCACGGTGCAGGCCAAGGCGGCCGTGGCAGCCCAAGCCGCGAAGCAGTCCGAGGCGGAGACGGCGAAGCCGAAGGCACCAGCTGCGGCGGCCCCCACGGCCGTGTCGGCTGGGCTGCGGGCAGCGATTGCCGCGGAGCTCGCCAGCCACGCGGCAGAGGCGCCTGAGCTGGTGGTCAAGCTTGGCAGGGCGCTGGGCGAGATTCTGGACAGCCACGCCAGCCAGGCGGCACCTGAGGCGGCTGCTGCTGGGCTTCCGCGGCAGCAGGAGGACGTGGGTGCTGGTGGTGCGGCTCATGCCCCTGCAGCTGCGGCCGCTAGCGTGGCGCCCGCTCCTGCAGCCGCGGCGGGCGAGCCAGCGGCAGGAGGAGCCAATGGGGCGACTGGGGTGGACCAGGCCTGGCGCGAGCTCGCCATGGAGATGGAGGACCCCGAGAAGCGGAAGATCGCCGAGGTGCTCAGGGAGGAGCAGGCGGGGTCGGAGGCCAAGCGGCTCCGCACAGTGGCTGAGGCTGGTGCGCAAGACTCCTAGCAGGCAGGGTGCCTGCTGGCGGTTCTGCACGGTCAACGTGAACGCGTTCTGCAACCTGGATGCGTGCCTGGCGGTGCAGGAGGTCAAGGAGTGCGACGCGGTCCTCGTCCAGGAGACCAGGCTGCTGGAGGGAAGGACCAGCGATGTGGAGGCTCAGCTTCGAGCCCAGGGATGGCGGGCGCGCGGCACGCCAGCCGTCCCGTCGTCGGCAGGAGGGCTCAGCTCTGGAGGACTGATCTCCATGGTTCGGACCGCCTATGGGATGGCGGAGGTGGACGACCCGATGGGTGCCGTGGTCGTCCCAGGCAGAGTTCACGTCTGCTGGGTCGCAGGGGTGAGGAGAGGCGGTGTGCTTCTCGGCAACGTCTACCTCGAGGCGGGGGTCGGCCTGAACGCGAGTAACGTGCAGGCGCTCACGCTGCTGGCGAGGAGGCTCAAGCAGTACCAGAAGGAGTACCTGGTTGGTGGTGATTTTAACCTCACGGAGGAGGAGCTGAGGGACGGAGGTATGCTCGCCATGTTTGATGCGGTGGTGGTTCGTCCTTCGACTCCTACGTGCGCATCGTCGGGGAGGGTCATCGACTTCTTCCTGGTGTCCAAGGGCTTGAAGGCGTGCGAGGTCAGCGTGGTGCCTGCGTCGCCCGTCTACCCGCACTCCCCTGTCCTTGTCAAGGTCGGCGCGACGGGGCCCCGTGCGCCCTTCCGCGTGGCGCAGGCGCCGAAGCCCTTCCCTGTCCTGAGGCCCTTGGGGTGCTGCGAGTACGACCACGTGGGCAGATGGAAGAGGAGTCGGCAGGAGATGAGGAGGCTCCTCAGGCCGATGGTGGACTTCGTGGACGAGGAGGTTGAGGCAGGCGCGGGCTGCAGCCTGGGGGGCCCAGTCCCGTTGGGAGCGGGCCCCCAAGGCACATGCACTGGGTCTGCCAGTTGGCCGCAGCCTGGGATAAATTGCGGCAGCCATCCTGGAGTGGAAGAGGTGGACGCGCGGCATGCGCAGTCCCACCCGGAGCCCCAGCCACAGGTCCGACCGGCGGGGCTTGCTGGAGGGAGCGCGGCAGGCTGCTGCGAGGAGGCTGGTGCTGGTGAGGTGGCTGCTGGTGCTGATGCCGCCTTGGGGCTGGGCCGCCTCGCAGGCTGCCGCAGTGTGCTCGCGCCGCCCCCTGCGCTGGCCACCGCGGCTTCGGCGGTCAGCCTTGGCCAGCTTTGCGGGCAGCTGGACGAGCAGTGGCAGGAGGCAGTGCGAGGATGCGGCTTGCTGCGGGAGCCTGAGGAAGAGCCAGAGCACCGGGAGGCGAGGAGCACGCCTGAGGACCAGACCAGAGGCGCGGCGGAGCCCGTGGAGAGGGCTGGAGGCGCTGGGGACGCCATCTCGGAGGCGGAGGCCCCGGCAGCGGTCCCGGCGACCCCGGCGGAGGCCCCGGCAGCGGTCCCGGCGGCCCTGGCGGCGGTACCGGGGGGGCGCCGGGTGGCCCCGGGGGGAGCGAGAAGAAAAAATATTTTTTTTCCCGTTCTGGCCGGGCCCGTGGAGAGGGCTGGAGGCTCTGGGGACGCCCTCTCGGAGGAGCCAGCCGACCGCCTCCTTGGCGGGAAGTGCGTGCCAGCAGGAGGAGGATGCGACGAGGAGAAGGTCAAGGAGGGCCTCAGCATGGCCCTGGGCGCCTTCCTCCAGTGCGCGGAGGAGGAGTGGATCGACGTGTACCAGCTGGGGGAGGAGCGCGACAGGTATTCTGGTAGAGCTGAAGGCTTCTCCACCAAGGTCGTCGTCAAGAGCGGGGTGCAGCAGGCGAGGTCGCCGAGGCTTACCCCTGAGGCGGCGTGGGTGGCCAGGGTGGCCAACGCGCTGCGCGCCGCCTCCAAGGTGGGCGCGCCACGCGCCAGGCAGGAGGCGCTCGGGTACTTGCCTGCGCTCGCGGCTCGCGTGCCGCAGCGGGTTCGGACGCTGCAGGAGGAGGATGAGGTTGAGGAGGCTGAGGGCAGTGTGGCCAGCTGCGGTGCAGTGGCAGGCAGATGGCGTGGCTTCCTGCTGTACGGCGCGGTGGCGCTGTGGGACCCGTTCGCGCTGGCACATATGGCTGACCTCGCCAAGCGGCATGCCAGCGAGCTAGCCCAACGAGATCTTGCCGAGCGAGGCAAGCGCTTTGACGAGTGGGTGGGTAAGCAGCTCAAGAGAGGAGCAGCAGGGCTGCACGCCGTCACTCGGGTGCCAGTAGGATGGCAGAGCAGCGCTTGCAGTGGCAGCTCGGGCCCCGCAGGCCTCGGCAAGGAGATCGAACTCCTCGAGGCCGAGTGGGGCAAGCACTGGAGGATCGAGTGCGACCACGCCGAGCTGCAGTGGCCCTCAGATCTGGGCGAACGGCCTCCGCGGCCGTCCGTGGAGGACCTGCGCCGCTGCCTCCGCTCCTTCAAGAAGGACACGGCCTCGGGCTTCGAGGCCATCAAGCCCAGGCAGCTCCTCGAGCTCAGCAGCGAGGGGCTAGAGGCTCTGATCGACCTGCTGATGGCCGTGGAGCAGATGGCGGAGTGGCCGCAGCTGCACACCAAGATCGTGTTCTTGGCTAAGCGGCTCGGGGGCGTTCGCCCTGTGGCCATCATCCACGTGGTGGCCAGGGTCCAGGCGAGGCTGCGCAAGCCGCTGGCGGACGCCTGGGAGCGCAGGAACGACCGCCCCTAC